CTTTCCCAACTACTAATAGCCATTTAAACACACAACTTCGCCTATATTTTGTGGAGATGGAGAGGTTTTCAATTTTTGACACTGTGCTTTCTCATCGAGAGAAAATAGTGTGGCTCTCCATTCCACTCTTGTTGCATAATTCATACCAATGCAATGAGTTTTACACAAGTTTAGCACAATCAGCCCTCCTGTAGCTATTAATGTCTCAGATTCAAACACTGCTCCTGATTGCATTGATTTACCAACGATTGATTGCAGGTGGTTGGAACTTTGGACGTCCACGAGAAGATGGTGGTGAAACCGTGATATCATAATGGAACGTGTGCATCATTTTTCGTCACTGGAGTTCTTCCATATCCGATCTGAAATTTATTACGAGAGTCTGTACTTTGCCATCACTCGTGTTGTCTGGTCAGAACCGTTTAGTATGTGAGTAGATTGGTCGATATAATTGCTATGTTTTTTCTTTACGATCGCATGTTTGTAGCAAATGTCTCCTTGGAGAAGTATTATAAAGTCTTTCAATGATGTACTGAGGCCTTCTTTGTTGATGCTTGCCAAGAAGTTTTTGCTGGCGCCTGCTATCCTGCTCACTCTGCTAAATATTCCTTCGGTGGTTTTTGATTCTTTGATCAAACTATTAATATCCACCTTTGAGCCATTAGTGAATATAAGGTCTATGAAGACGTTTTCGTAGTTTCATATGCTTTATAATGCCTTTGATCAGATTTTGTCGCTCAATTTAGAGGGCATCATTTTCTGTCACCCATAATTGGCTCCTGGGCAGAGTCAACCCTGCGTTGCGCAGTTCTCAACGGCCACGTTGCGCAGTTTCGCCCGATTAGACACGTTCTCTCGCGCGAACATTCACACTCGCATGCTCGAGCCGTCTGCGTCTCCGCCCATACAGCGTGCGTTGAGGATCTCTCAACGTGCCGTTGAGAACCTCTCAACGTGCCGTTGCGAACTGCGCAACGCAGGGTTGACTCTGCTCCTGGGTACACTTCTAGTCGGATGGGCACTTTAATTCTTCGAATACGGTAGGTGCCAAATGTGCGTGGGGCTGGTGTACAAAGCTATGAACTAGCGAGACGCTATGGAAATCGACAATCGTTATCTCTTTGTTGCTTCTACTTTTGATAGTATTTCCTGTGGGATCGTTCGACTATACACTATCGATCGATGGGCTGAGCCCTCGGGGGCAGGCGGGGGGGGGAGGGGAACGGTTGATGACTACTTGAACCCGGTCCTTTGAGCCGCCTCAGATCCATCTCTCGTCTGCGCTCTCTCTTATCAGCGGCTCATGACCATTGTGATCTCACACATTCAAACTTTTGCCACACTGTAGTTGGCTCACCCACCTCGAAGTCCCTCCCTCCTACAAGGCTTAGTCCTAGGGCTCTCACCTCCTTCCTTGGGATTTGGAGCCGAGCCAGGCGCCGTTCTCTAACTGTCTGTGCCCTCCGCCATTCGTGGCAGGACCATGGAAGAAAGTTCAAGTAGTCCGTAAACCGGAGGGGAAGGAGGGAAGGGGGCATCAGCCCTCACGTACACTTCTCACCTACCGTATTCAGAAAATCGGCGTGTTCACTGAACTATATGGACGTAAGCAAACCAGCCCTTTTCGGCTGGGACCGTATGCTGAATGTTGGGGAGGGGATGGGGTCCCCAACGGTCGACGGTTTACTTCAACTCGGTTGGTACGATAGGAGAGTACTGACGCAAGTGGTGCAGCTGGTCCAGTAGCTTCGCCAGAAGGACTGGTTTGCTCACCCTTGGACTAAGAGGGGACGGACCCGTCCTCTCTTTAAGGCTTAGTTCTGAGGTAAGCACCAAATTGTGGCGGTTCTAAGGACCGAGTTGAAGTGGTCCGTCCACCGTCGGGGACTCCATCCCCTCCCCAACATTCAGCATACGGTCCCAGCCGAAGCGCCAAAAGGGCTGGTTTGCTTACGTTCGTCATCACACAGCTAGCTGAAGCGGTTACAAGGCTTCTGTCAACCAAAAGATGGACGTGTAGATTGGGAAGCATACTCTGTGGCCTAGACTTTTTCATGCTTTGGCTTGTGAGGAGAGTCGTTTCATGGACTTCGGCTTCTGCGGGAAAAGGGGGGTCGTATTTCAAAATTCTCCTCGACGCCTCGCCCTGACCCTGCCACAGAGCTGATCTACGAATTTAGTGAGCTTTTATATATACTCTATTTCGGAAGACGAGAAGAAAATCGAGTGCAGACCACACATCATAAGAGACGACGGCCAAGAGAAAAGCGGCTTTTTCTTGGCCGTCGTCTCTTATGGTGTGTGGTCTGCACTCGATTTTCTTCTCGTCTTCCGAAATCGGGGGTAAATATGTATCTTCACAATATTCAGCCCGATGGTTGGATAAAAATGCTTAATTGAACATGCAATTCACCTTTCGGAGAACTCCTTAAGAAAAGCATGCCAGCCGTTCCCTGGGAGGGGGTCGTATTTCAAAATCTGGGTACCCCCCAGGAGGCCCGTCGCGCGGCAAGAAGGCAGAGTCGGCGGACGAGTCGCAGCGCGTGATGTGCGATGTAGGACGTGCAATGGGACATTCTATTTAACTTGACGCGAAATCCCTAATACGCGCGCGACTCGTCCGCTGACTCGCCTTCTTGCCGCGCGACGGGCCTCCTGGGGGTACCCTTCAAAATCTTCCTCGACGCCTCGCTTTACCCTGGGCGCCAATCCCCACGCGCATATATTTCGCGCCTAATATCCAAAAGAGTCGACGTGCCCATCCGACTGTCATTGCACCAGCACCTTCAGTACTCATAAGCTATATGCGCGTGGAACAGGAGCCATATAGCTTATGAGTACATATAGTCCAGTGAACACGCCGATTTTCTAAATACGGTAGGTGAGAAGTGTACGTGAGGGCTGATGCCCCCTTCCCTCCTTCCCCTCCGGTTTACGGACTACTTGAACTTTCTTCCATGGTCCTGCCACGAATGGCGGAGGGCACAGACGATTAGAGAACGGCGCCTGGCTCGGCTCCAAATCCCAAGGAAGGAGGTGAGAGCCCTAGGACTAAGCCTTGTAGGAGGAGGGACTCCGAGGTGGGTGAGCCAACTACAGTGTGGCAAAAGTTTGAATGTGTGAGATCACAATGGTCATGAGCCGCTGATAAGAGAGAGCGCAGACGAGAGATGGATCTGAGGCGGCTAAAGGACCGGGTTCAAGTAGTCGTCAACCGTTCCCCTCCCCCCGCCTGCCCCCGAGGGCTCAGCGCATTGA